CAGCAGGGATAACTAAAGGATAAAAGTGTTGACTAGCAAGATGCAAACACACAGAACCTTTTCCTTTTGCAGCTCTATATCTGGGCCTTCTGGAAAGTGCTTCCCACTCTGGGGGAGGATCTACTCCATTCATTTCACCCTTCTTGCAAACACCACTCATACACCACCCAGAGGCATGTGTCTTAGTTTATTCTAGTTCCTATTGAGTTTAAAGTCAAGATTAATCAACACACTTGCCCTTCTCCTATCAGAAACCCACATGGGGGTAGGGAAATACACATAAGAAATTTGTTTGATGATCTTAGACCTTCTCTCTAAGGCTTGGAGTTAGGACCCAGGCACTCATCATTGCCTGAGTCCCAGAGGCTGGCCAGCCTGTTACATCCTCTGCATTGGGTTTTCTGCTAGTGGTCCACATGCTGTCCTGTCTTATCACTCTTGGATGGAGAAGGAATATTAGAAATATTTATCTTTAAAATCATTCTTTGAGCTTTCTGTTTTTAGAAATTATTCTCTGCCTGTTATTAATGCATCCATTCCTCAGAGAGAACAAAATTGATTAAACTTTAAACTTTATGTTGTAGTACCCATTATGTTACCATAAATAGAGCATAGCTGTACTTGGTGTTCCTGAGAGTCTTACATGCAGATTGTTCCTTGTGATGTTTTCCTTGGCTGGGGGACTGATTGCATGATTGCATGATTTCAGGTCACACTCAGAAGGTGACATTAATCCTGTGCTTTAGAGGTCTGGTGGATTGCTAAGTACCAATGGCAGTATTCTTCAGATTTGAGATATATTTTCTGCATTATCAGAATACTCTTTTATTACTTACTCTTTTATTACATACTCTTTTATTACTTAGTAAGGGCCAGTGCTCTTTGCTAGCTTCTTGCTTCTCTGGTGAAACTCAAGGATGACTTATAAAAACAGGATTTTCATGAAAGCTCAGCTTCTACAGAGATAACACTGATGGGAGAAATGCTTTGATTTGCCTCTTCTCCCCCAAGTCTTATTAAAGAGTTCTTCCTCCTGACACACTGAAGCGATGAAAATGTGCCTAAAGGCTTGGTTGTTGGTACCAAACAAACAAATTCTATTGTTAAGCAATAAAGACAGTCAGAATTCATGGTAAAAAGACTTGCAGGGAATGGAGTGAAAGGGAAATTTGTATCATTTAGAGGTTAGCAAACTCATTAAACTCATAGTCAAAGGTCAGTTGGCTAGATGGCTGATGTTTTGGATATCCCACTAAAGAGTGGACTAAGTGCCCAAAGGGGAAAGATTTGGAGCAGAGAAGTAGCATGATCAGATCAAGTGTACACATGAAACAGCCTACTGTGGGTCAATGAGAAGATGGAGGAAAAGAGGCCCGTGGACAGGTTTAGGGAGAGCAGGCAGGTTGCAAAGGCAGGAAAGTCAGAGACAATGAGCAGCACAACACCTGTAGCTGAATGCCAGCCATTACTTTAAAGACATTAGAAAAGGGATGACAGGCAACACCAAGACACATAGAATGGCCCAGAAAAGAAGCTGCAGAAGGGCTCTGACTGTGGGAGGGATGGGTTTCTGCTGCAGGTTGAGAAGTGAAAGAGAGTCACTGAAGTCTCCTTTGACATACTCAGATACTTTCTGAGAGCCAGTCAGTGAATTTATAAATAGAGGAAATGGGCAGTGGTAGCTTGCAATCAGAATAGGCAATAAAGCGAGGGGAATGGCAAAGTGAGTTATTTTGCTTTTGATTTTGAGACAGTAGTGAATCGATCATGGCAATGATAAAGAGCAAGAGAGTAAAGATGCTTTCAGAAGTAGTAGTAGTGAAGGACCTGATCTCAGAGGAGACAGAGGGATGGGGTGGCAGGTGCATTATCATTATGTGAGAGAGGAGGTCAGGACTGACAGCTATGGACTAATCACACCCAGCAGCACTGTGTCCTCTGAAGCAGTCAGCATGATTGATTGAGATGTTAGAAGGGCAATGAATGGTCAAGACAGTAGAAGAACTGAATGTGTAGAGTGGCCACTGAGAGAACTGGTGCTTCGAATAGAATTGTTAATATATATATATATTCCTAGCAAATTGGACACCTTGGATTTATAAAGTCACCAGCCCTATGGGTACCAGGTCTAGGGACATCTATGGTTGGAGCTTTATTTCTTCAGTCACATACTTTGCAAGGTGTGAGTGGATGTCAGGGGAGGAAGGAATAAAGGGTGCTGGCAAGATGTGATAGATGTGCTAAATGCTACAGGTGCACAGTGAGACGGGCTTGCACAGAGACAGATAAGCAGGGATGGCCATCTTGCAGAGGACCGATGGTAGTCATCTCAGCTTGTTGGTCTGGGGAGCTTTAAAATCCAAATTAGTCTCCAAGTTCTAGGACATTCCTTAGAACATGTTTCTCTGGTGGTGGAGTGGGTAGTGTGGCAGGGATGCCTACTGTGGAGTTTGGTCATGAATATTTAAGCCTATAATTTTCTGTTTGAGATAATTTGGTAAGAAGCTTTCCTCAGAAAATGACAATGAATGGATTTAAACAGTAGTAATAAGGACTTGGCGGGGACAGAAACGGAAGTCATACTTGGAGCTCCCAGGGTCTGTCCTTGGTGCTTGGGATGACTTAGTGCCTGCAAGCCCTCTAAATCTTGTTCCTCTTTGTGTCATCACTGGCATCACAGACCACACCTGGAGGTAGTGGTATGTGGTTATCCCCTTATTCATCTCTTAAAATAAGATCCTTGTAGTAGACTATGATGCTATTTGCTTCCGTGGCTTGCCATAGCCTTGTCTGTTGTCACCTCCACCCTTATTGACATCAGTCCATCATTTGAATTGGACTATTCTGACTAGATCCCTGTGTGTTGGGGAGTGGAGGGGTGAAGGGGGCAGATTTACTCTCTTGACTCATAGCGATCTCATTTTATCACTTGCTTCTGACTCAGAGCCTTTGGAGTTCCTTCTTTCATCTTGTCTGCTCCCTTCCTCTGTTCCCCTTGACTGATCGAAAAGTTGACTGCCAATCAGACAATAAAGGCTCACCATCGTGTCCCTTTCCAGCTGCATGCCCATCTCTAAGATAGAATCTGCCTGCCAGTTATGAGTTTTCTCACCTCAGAGCTTAGAAGGGTTTTGTTTCCTTCCTCTGGAGTGTCTTAGGAAGGGAGAGGAAAAGGAAGAAACTGAAGCATTTGAATGATAAAAAGTGGCAGAGAGACACAGAAAACAAGGGAATCTAGAAGGTCCCCTGTCTGTTCTCTAGGGATTAAGTGACTCCCTGAAGACAAAGGTGTCTATAGCCCCTGTGGTGATGCAATAACTGGCCTGAAGGAAGGGCTGACCGGCCTGATGACAATTAAGAGTTTAGAGCAAGAATACAACAGTTATTCATTGGCTTCTGTGTGTCTGGTGTTTTCGTACATACCCAGTTTAATTCCTTTAGCTGCTTTATAGGGAAGAATTAAGGAAGAGAAACTCTCAGGCAGAAGGCTAAAGCCAGAGTGAAGCCATAAGGCAAGGTCATCCCCACTAAATCCAAAGACCTCATTTGCTTCTCCAGACTCCATCCTGTCATCTTCACTCTGTATCAGATACTCTTATCTGATTTGTATACAGCCTGTCTGGTTTGTAGCTGGGCTTTGCTTTTTATTAATAGAGATAATCTCCAGCTTAAGGAAAGGTGTATGAGACAATTCTATTGGTACCTGGTTTGTCACCATTCCACAATCGAGCATTACAAAGCCATCATAATTCAAGGCACCACTGAGACTGGGTAATTCACTTCATTAACGGTGCTGGCTGAATAAAACACACACCAAATTAGAAATAAGCAAATACTTGGGAGTGCAACAGTACATTCCAATAACACAGGAAGTGATGTTAGAAGAAGACTGAGGGAGGGGAAAGAGAGTGGGGGGAAGGGAGTTCAGACAATAGCTGGTGGAAATAGTTCTATCCTTCCATAATGTATTTCAGGGATTGAAATCAGGTCACCAAACTTGTTGCCATCTTGCTGGCCCTCAGAGAAATTTTGAGCCTGTAGGTAACCCACACCCAGCACTTTTAGAAAGCACCTCTGAGAACTATAGCAGAGTTAGTGGTGAATCTATTTTGCTTATTTCTTTTCCTTCATGCCTCCTTCTCTCTTACTTCTCAAACTCAGGGTGAAAAGAAGTGTGGTCTGCTGTCTTGTCTGTTTGCTTGGCTGCTTACTGGTGGGCCAAGGCACAGAGTGTCTTCATTGAACCCTGTGTCCATGACTCTCACTGTGTCTAAGAGTCAGTTAGTTAGCATGACAGTATCCATAGGACTTTTCATTTCTGAATCAGTTAAACAACCTGTGTGTATCTATGAAGCTTGTCATGTGCAAGAGTCCATTACCTTTGTCCTTATTCTGTTTGTTAGTTTGCTTATGTTCTACCTCTGATTTTCTGAGTCTGGAAAAGCAAGTATGTAGGGCTCATTCCAACAATCAGAGGCCAGCTCCGCCTATGTTCTTTATGGAGAAAACATTAATTTCCTGTGTCTCTGGGTGTCTTACCCAAGACAGTTATTAGAAAAAATAATAAAGACTATTTACAAACATCTCTGGGAGTCTTACCCAAGATAGTTATTAAAAAAATAAAGACTATATACATACAATGATTAAAGCCACTTAGTAGCTTCTTCATTATAAATACTAACCTGGAAATAAACACACACACACACACACACACACACACACACACACACACACACAGAGAGAGAGAGAGAGAGAGAGAGAGAGAGAGAAATACAATGCCTTCAACATGGATTTCCTTTCAGTTTGACTTTATTATGTAATTTTTAAAAATTTAGATCCATCAGAGGTGAAAATATCAATTTCCTTTTCCAGGGAGAATTCAGTAACAGAATGAAAATCAGGCTTCATTTGGATATACAACTTATCTGATTTTTGTTAATAATATCTTACATACTTTCATTTTAAATCAATCTTTTTTCTCATTCTCTTTCATAAAACAGCACATATCTGGATGAGAAGCCACCCCAACTGACAGACAAATGCAAAAATCTACAATATAGCTTGAAGTCTTTATCGAACAAAACGAGAGGGTAAGTTCCACTCTTCACATTCAATTTTAAGTAAGTGTTTTATATTCAAAGCATTCCAATGAGTCTTTGAAATAATTTGGAAAATAAGGCTGTGCTTGTTTCAGGATTCCTGGCTCTGAGAATGTCCCCCTGTTGAGGAGGACGGAAGAGGGATAGTGTACAGCAAGGTCATCGCCTGGCTGTAGGACTCAGCTTATCTGTCCTAAAGCCACATTTATTGTGCACTGCATATTCTAGCTGAAATTTAAAGCCTGCACACCCTTCTGAGAATTTGATGTGTGGTTAAGACGTTATCCTTGGAAAATGCTCATTTGAACAAAACTTTGCTTACAACTTCAGGTTAATAGTTTACCTTTGGCCTCAGCTGTGGCTCACTTACCACTCACTGACTGGAGTTTCTAGTCTCCAATTTTCAATAATCTATGACATCCTTTTCTTCTAACTGGGGAGAAGGCAAGCCAAGATCTCTGCACCTGATGTGTGGAAGAAGCATTGGTAGCCTGAGCTACCAAGACTAGCAGTGCTGGACTGGGTTCTGTCCATGATGCTTGGGGCTGGGTTGTGCTTGTAATTCTTGTAAGGCAGCTGGGTAGTGGCTACTTGAATATGTACAGGGGCCTAGGTTCAGTCCCAGTACTACCGAAAAGAAAAAGAAGTGTGTGTGTGTGGGGGGGGGGGATCTTCCTGGAAGGAAGAATTCTAAGCTTCATTTAGCTGTGTTCTCGGCTGACAAGGGGGACAAAGAGTAAGAGGCAAGAGATGCAGTTGATTTCCTCACAGGGATCTGTTCCAGGGTTGTCTCCATTCTTTCATTCCATTCTTTATGTTAATACTCTCTCTTACTTCTCATTTATAACAATGGCAGTGGGGAGGAAGGAGTTGAGCAGGTGACCCATTTTCTCTTTCCTGAGTGTGTGGGAGGCTGACCTGAGAAGAGAAGTCAAGGTAGGTAACCTAGTCCAGCCTTTGGACAAGCCAGTATAGGACTTTCACTTAATGTGCTGAGCTCCTCATCAGGCTCCTTCCTGACTAAGGTAGAGCTGAGTGTTATCAAAGATTCAGGAGGCAGGTCCCTCTTGGGGAGTGCTATGTAGGATGTGCACTTTCTTGAACGTAACAGGAGGATAATTCACAATGGTGCCTGCTGTGTGAAGACCCTCATGCATCTCAAATAGAAACCTCATTGACTGTTTTAGACCAGGTCCACCAAGGAAAGGCAGGACCAGGTCCACCAAGGAAAGGCATGACCAACATGACAAGCCTTGATGTCCCATGCCTCTCTTTGTTTTGTCTGAGCCTCCTGACTATCAAGATCATTAAAATCATTAGATAGCATAACAATGTTGGTGGACTCTGTGTTGAGTTGATACAATTGGACAGCCTAATCCTGTACAAAGGATGGACTATTACTATTAGGGACTTGCCTTCTTTTTCTTCAGATCCAAATGATAAGTGCTAAGCTTTCTGGAGAAATCTCCTGTGCTGTGTGGCCTTTATGATACACCCTATGTTCTGCTCACCTTTCTAGCCCATAACAGTTCCCCAAATATTTGGCTATCTTTGTTCAGAAAGGTCTTCATCAACAGGTTCTGGGATCATTTACTGTTTGTTTATTTATTTGATTTGAATATGTGAGGGCATGCATCAGGGATCAAGAAGAGGGTTGAAGGAAAAGGGCTTTTTTTTTTCTATACAATGCCATTCCAAGTTCCAGGTTAATTGTAACACATCACTGCCCAAAAGATGGACATAACTTTATGGCTTCTCTTTACCTCTCTCTCTCTGTGTCTCTTTCTATGTGTGTATGTGCCTCACTCTTTCCCTTCTCCATCCCTCCCTCCCCACTTCCCTCTCCCTTTATTTCTGCTCAGTGATATATTGCTAATAGTCCCTATAACCTAGTCTCACCCTTGAGAATAGCCCATTCCATAAAACTTCACACAGTTTGGATTGGAACTTCTGGGTCAAGACTTCTCATCTTGTGTAGTCCACTCATTGAACTCACAGTGGCTCATGCATTGTAGATGGCACTTCACACCTGTTTTCATCTTGTTGGACCTGTTATGTTGTTTTAAGCCCCTGGATGTTACAAAGCTTTGGTCTAGCATTTCCAGAGAGACTCTCAGTTCTAAACCTTTTGTAGTTCCTTTCTCATATCAGTCACAAGATGCTAAGAAACAAGAGAACTGGAAGAAGCAAATGTTTCTCTTTGCTCCAGCATGCCCTGTAGAAATCTGTGTATTCATTCACTCAAATGCATGCCAGCATATGGCCCTTGCCTCTGATTAACTTTCTCACTGATGCTGTTGAGTTGTGCTTCTTAAAGGCCCTCACAGAAGGATGATCTGTCTGTGCACATCCTGACAAAGTGCTGACTCAGCATGAGACAAGCTCTCTAATGTTCTGACCTGAGATGGGGGAGCTGACAACTCTGGGTATGCTAGGACAGAGCAGTCAAAGGCAGCATGCTAATGAGAATGCCCTAGCACATGCTCTGCTGAGTATTTTCTCCATCTTACCCTATTGTTTGGGGTTTGATGGTGAGACCTTCCCTAGCTGCTCTTCTGGGGCTTGCCTTCCCATTACACACACAGTTTTCGACTAACCTATATAATTAGCCTGCACTAGCATTCTGTGCAGCAAAGGTCCAGGGAGAGCAGGCACAAATGGCCCACTGCTAAGAAAGTGTTATTCTTGCACACAGGAGACTAATTTTTTTTTCAGTTATATTGTCTATTGTCAGGAATTGTGAGTTCTACAACCAGGGGACAATTAGGAAACTTGCAGGGGACAATTGGGAAAGTCATTTCAGTGTATGGTGATTAAAAAAAAAGAAAAGAAAAGCAATTTCATTTTCTTAGAAATAATTATTTAGCCCTATTTTTGTCATGGTCTGTTAAAGACTTAGACTTTTCTCTTTTATTGGGCAATTTGTCCCTTTCAGGTTGCTATAATAGGTGTTAGGAGACAGAGTTACAGTGGGAGGAAAATGCACTCTTTTTTTTTCTGCCTAGTGTTGGCTACATTTTTGATTAAAAGAACAATTAAGCAGTGGAATTAAGACAATCAGTAGAATGAGTCTTATGCATGGCAATTTCTCTCTCTCTCTTTGTCTCTCTGTCTCTCTGTCTCTCTCTCTCTCTCTGTGTGTGTGTGTGTGTGGTGTGATAAATACTTGTTAATGAGATTGTGTGACATGTGCATACATTTGGGTGCTTGTCCATGAAGACCAGAAGTGGATGTTGAGTGTCTTGTCAATCACTCTCCATTCTCTGTCTGAGACAAGGTCTCTCACTGACCTCAAAGCTAGCCAATTTGGCTGACTATTGTATTTCTGGGATATGTCTATCTCTTCGTCTCCCTGCAACACCTCTCCTGCTTTTTTTAGGTGTATTCTGGGACTAACCACATTGTGGCCCTCATGCTTACCCAGCAGGCACTTTGCTTTCATCTTTAGCCCCAAGATTCTTTATTCTCTGTTTAAAACCCTGAGTTCCAAGGTGAGCAGGGTCTTGTTTTTAGTTCTGTCTCTTGTGCCTGTACATGAATTAATTGTTTCACAAATGTATATGGAATAAGCAAGTTAATTAATTAAATCTGCAAAATACTTTCTATACCATATAATACTTATAATATACCATATACTATAGTATTAAAAAATTAATCACTCAATCCAGAAGTTTTAACTTTTTTGATGCCAATTGTTCCCTATGTGAGTCTTTTCCTTATTTTAGGCTTGTGGGCTTATTTTTCTAACTGAGCCTTTGCCTCTGCAATCTCCAGATTTCTCTAGCATAATCCTTTTCACTGGATTTTTCTACCAGATAGAAATATTACACTGTGTTAAAAATGCATTCCTATCATTGCTAGTTTGACCATTTCTCATCATGGCAAATTTACTATTTACATGTTTTTTGCTTATATGTCTAGAAAAATGATTGTATAGATACGCAGGCTTTCTAGTGTAGATTTCATTGCCTCAGACAAATGAAGGCATTTGTCTCAGAACAGGCACATCACAGATGCTGGCCTAGGTGGAGTCTCCATTGTCCCTCTCTTGCTTTCTCTGACTCTGTTGTTATTAGTTAGATTTTCTTTGCTGTAGCTGATATGGAAGACAAGCTTAAGAAGAGAAAGGTGCTCTGGCCACAATTTTAGATTCTTTTGTGCACAGTCAGACAGCTAGAAGGCATTTAGGCCTCCGGTGGGAGAGCAGTATGTTGTGGCAGAGGGAAGCTGTTTACCACATAACTGGAAGGCAAAGTCAAAGAAAATTCCACAATTTGCTTCAAAGGTTCACCTCCAGTAACCATGAACTTCCTACCATGCTCTACTGTTAAAGGTTCTATCCTTCTCAAGAATGCCAAACTGGGGACTGAGCCCTTCATGTGTGAGTGTTGAGGGACATTTAATATCCAAATGCTAGCAATTCTGAATATTTTCTTCTTTGTTGGTCCAGGACTCCCTCCACAAATTATAGTTCTGTTTGTTTGGTTTCCATTGTTTGGCCAGAAAGAGGAATTACTCTAGTGAAATCTCTTAGAACTCAATGTCTTAATGCAGAATTCTATCTGCCCACTCACAGTGTTCAATATTCCTTACTGATGAAGTAGTTCCCTTGGGAGTCTTCCCCCTGGATATTGACTCGGTGACTCTGATAGTCACCTCTCTAACAGGCAGTGTGCCGGAAAGACAAAGTGAAATCCCATACTCTACACAACTTACAGGAGACTCCAGTTACACTCACATTCTACTGACTGCTTGAGTCAATGTGGATGGGTTAGACGTGGGGTTGGTGCTCAGGTTGTAGTGTTTGCCTGGGCAACTTCTTGCAAAAAAAAAAAAAAAAAATGACACTGTAGAAGGAGAATACTGTTAGTGGAAGTCAACCAGGTATCTCTACTCCACATATTTCCAGTAGCTTTACCACTTTATTAATTATAGGCCTTGTCTTAGTTAGGGTTTCTATTGCTTCAATGAAACACCATGACCAAAAGCAA